ACTGCTGGAGCCCTTGCTACATAACTCTGGCCCCTGGGGACTAGAAGAACACAGCCTCCCATCTTTGACTCCTGGGCTCATGCAGACCTGGCCCCGAGGACAGCCCTAACCATCGACGTGAGAAATCTGCCCTTGTGGTGGTTTGAATGAAAATGACCTCATAGGCTTATAGGGAGTGGCACTGTTAGGAGGTGTGGCCTTGTTGGAGGAAGGGTGTCACTGGGGGTGGGCTTTAAGATTGGTTTCAAATGACCAAGCCAGGCCCGGTATCTTTCTCTTCCTGCTGTCTGCCAATCCAGATGTAGGACTCTCAGGCTACCTCTCCAACACACCATGTCTGCCTGCATGCCACCATGCTCCCCACCATAAAGATAATGGACCAAACTTCTGAACTGTAAACCAGCCCCAATTAAGTGCTTTCCTGTACAAGAGTTGCCGTGGTCATGGTGTCTTTTCACAGCAACAGAAACCCTAAGACAGCCTTCAATCATCATGACATCTCTGTCCTGCCTGCGGGCCCACAGCCCACCATTGTCATGTGTCTGGTGCTCTTCCAAGCTGGCTGCTCCATTTTGAGGTCCCTGTCTCCCTGGGGTCTCCCCTGCACTTCCGCAGCAGGCCCTGGGGCAGCTCGTGGGCCTTTGTGGGTGCTGCTCAGCCCTTGCCCAGCACCTATTCCTACACGAGCCCTTGTCTTTCCTCAGACCGAGGGTGGATTTGAGTGGGAGAGCCCTCCAGACTTGGTCCTGCCCCAGCCTCAGGCAGCCAGGAGGAACAGTGTGTAAGACTCTACCCCAGACAGCACCCCCAGAATCTTCCCTGGCCATGACACACTCGCCATAAAGCCATGTCCCAACCATATATCAGCACCCCAGGGGGATACCTGCCTTTCCCATCCTTCCTCTGCTCTGATCGTGGCTCTTGACACCAGGCAGAGGCAGGCCGGCTACCTACTATGGGGCACACGTGGCCATTCCCTCCCGCTTGGTCTCAGGCTAGGGTGGGGACAGGAAGCACGTGGGGAAAAGACAAGGCAGGGGTCTCCCAAGCTGCACTCAGCTTCTGAACCATGCAGCCGGCTCCATGGGGCTCGGGAATCCAGGCCAGTGCAGGGCTGGGCAGTTTTACAAGCAGCTTCAGAAGAACTTGCCCCACACCCTGGAGGCCCACGCCGCGGAAGACACTGGCTGTGCCTGCCCGAGCCTTCAGATCTGAAGGAAGGCGTAGGGTGAGGAATATCCAGGCCTGCAGCACAGTCAGGCAGGGAAAGAAACACTGGTCCACACGGACCTCTCCCAGTCCATGACTGTGTCCCCGAGATCCTGCCATGGCCTCCGGATCCACCATGAGGAGTCCGGTCCTCCTGGTGTCCTGGTGTCTTAGGGAGGCCCAGACATTTGGGCACTGAAGGTCCCGCCGGGATCTCAACACAGCTGTTTCATGGAGAGGATTTTATGAACATCCAAATGCCCTCGGGCCACTGCTCCTCAGCTAAGACACGCTGTAAGGGAGGAGGGCAGCAGGGGAGACCTGGGGTCCCGGGCAGGGAGGGCCACGGTGTGCTAACACCCAGGGCCCAGTCCTAGACCCCCCCCCCCACACACACACACACGGCTAAGCTTGTCTTCAGGGCTGTCAGCGCTCACCTCAGATTTCGGGCAGAATCCAATCCTTTTTAGAGTTTAGGCAAAAAAAAATCTTGTGACTTTTTTTTTTTCAAATAGTTTGGGCTTGGCAAGTCTCGAGTTGTATTTTGCCAAGCCCTCCGCCCTCCTATAATTTAAAGGAGGAAAAAGCACAAGAGACAAAAACCACCGTGCATTCCGAGGGAGCCGCGGTCTGCTGTTGCTACTGCCACGGTCCTCGGGATTATCCGAGCGGAGCGGCCCCTCCCCAGCTCTGGGTACTTACAGTTTAGGTGAGGTTAGGTAGTTTGGTTTAGTTTAGTTTAGTTTAGTTTAGTTTAGTTTAGTTTAGTTATGGTAGGCTAGTTTAGTTGCTTAATATATACCCATCAATGAGGTAGTCTCTAAAAGGAGTTAGAGCCCTCCCAGCCCCAGGCCACTGTGGCCAGGTGAGACCTGAAGAGGCCCTGACTATCATGCCACTAAGTCAGCGTGTGGGGACCATGGGGAACAGGGGTGAGAGCAGCCTGCAGCAGTTCTTGAAAGGAGGCCCAAGTTCAGAGACCAGTCCTCCACCCTGCTCAGAGTCACTTAACAAACCTTTTCCTGGACCCCTCAGCATCCCTCCAGGGAGGGACAGACAAGCAGATGCTGCCCTGGGGCCCCAAAGTCTCAGCATCCTTAGAACACAGGAAGGGGTTAGGAACAGAGCAGGCCTTGGGGCATAGAGGACGCTTGGCCTGAGACGGGTTATGTTAGGGAAATGCAGTCAGGAAGCCAAGAGGGCAGGAAGATGAAGGGTACTCCTCCGGCGAGACAATAGCCCCAAGCCAGTCTTGAGCAAGCCTGGACAACAGGATTCCAGGTGGACAGAGACCTGGCTAGGCTTAGGGACAAGCAGAGTCCTGGGGTCACTTCCTGGTCCCCAACCCACCTGGAGCTGTGCATGCCCTGGTATGACTGCAGTGGGGGGGGGATGGCCAGGGCCCTGGGCCATCTGCAGATGGGCACCACGCCCTGTGGGTGCCGCTGAACCACAAGCCCATGTGTAATGACAAGGCCGGCCGGCCTGTCCCTAGGGCTCCGAGCCAAGCATCCACAATTCTGAGCAGTGGTTTTGCTCTCTTTCTGAAAGAACTGGAGGGTGGGAGTCTTCACTCCCTCTGCACATCCAATTTTCCGGATCAGCTGAGAAGCAGAGCTCAGAAGCACGCAGAACCCAGAACCAGTACACAGAAGTACACCAGGCCAGGAGAGATTAAAACCGGCACCCGGCCTTCCCTCGGGGGTCTCTGTCCCCAGCCCCCAGGCAGCCCTCACGTCTACATCTCTGAGTTTAGCTTGCCAATGTTTAAAAAGATATGGTGGGGGCTAAGGAGATGTCTCAGTAAAGCGTTTGTCATGCACGCATGAAGAGCTGAATTCAACACCCAGCACCCAAGAAAAAAGATGGCCACAAAGGCATGGACCTGTAAGCCCTGGGGAGGCACAGAGGAGGATTTCTGGGGCTTGCTGGTGAGCCAGCCTATTTTTTTCTTAAACTACTATTCTTATATT